CAAGGCTTCCATCTATTTCTTCCAAGACAGAAAAAAAGGAGCCACTTTTGATAATAGATTCAGAAGCCAAATAAATGCAAAATTTAAAAGTATTAGGTGAGGTTTTAAATGAACAATAGCTCCGTAAACTTCACAAACGCAGCCCTGCTTCCTCAACACCCCTGCACCGGCCTCTCTCCCCTGAGCTACGCAACAGCACCTTCTCCCTGGACTCCCAGCACCCAAGCAGCCCCTTCATTTCACCCTCCCACCAGCCACCAGAGTGCCCCAAAGAGAACCCTCAACTCCTCCTACCTGGAGGGGAAGAAGGCTGACAGGCCCAAAGCAGTAACATTTGCACAAGAAGCTGCTCGTTCCACCCCAGGACCAAAATAAAATGTTATTTGGCAACAATGAGAAATCTAGTCTGGCTAGGCCCTCACCAAAAAACAGGCATCCACAGCACCAGAGAAAAAACTGTGACGTAAGCATTCAGTTCCCACAGGCCAACGGGCTGCTGGGGGTTTCTGCTGAGGCCTCAGCTGCTGCCTCTCCAGGAAATCCCAAATCCTTTTCCATTTGCCAGCTGCCAGGGCGCTGATGGGCAGCTCTCAGAGCTGCTCGGTACCTTCCCATCCTGGGTAGGGCTTTGTCTTTCTAGGGTGGCTTCCTCTGGTCCTATTCCACCTAGGCTGCTCACATACGCAGTCCTTTTTCCCAGGTGTTGGCCTTGGATCCCCTGGGCTCTCCCACAGGTGGGACTGGATTATAATATACCCACTCACGGGGAATACAGCAACCGGTCCCTGGTTATGCTGCAAGGGTCATTTATACGTCGCTTTATTTGCATTCCCTCTTGATTTATACAGTTTGTCTGAGACGTTGTGGAACAATTCAGATTTACATGAACTCCTGGGATTTCCAATTCACTCTTGCAGGATATGTTTGCTAGGTATACAGTCTAAGGTGAAAGTTACACTCTTCCAACACATTGCACATAGCCTCCTCTACTTTCATTGAGAAACATTTTCTCAGATAAACAGCCATTCTTAGAAAATTATCTTTTCTTCTAATTGCTTTAGGAATCTATTTAGTTTAAGTAAATTTACTGTAATGCGTTTAAGTATAGTTTTGTTTTTGTTAATGCTCCTCATGAGGATTCACTGACCTCTTGAATCTGTGGTGTACTTTAGTTGGTTTAGGAAAACCTCAGTCATTCTCTCTCCGTATTCTCATTCACACTCTCTCTTCTCCTGTGACTCCAAATAGATACACAGGAGGCTTTCTAACCAAATCCTCTGTATCTCTTACTTTCTACATTTTTATATTAACTCTCCAGGTTTTACTATGGCTGTTTCCTTCCAATCCATCTTCTAGTTCAGTGGTGTCCTCTTCAGCACTGTCTAATTTGTTAAACTTGTCCACTAAATTATTTTAATTTTGGTTATTACATTTTTCAGTTCCAGAAGTCCTAGTTGGTCATTTTTCAAATTTCTTATGCAAAATCGTACTGTCCCCTATGCCCTGCAGACATTCTCAAGCTTCTGTTCTTTCTTCATATATATAGTAAGGAGACTAGTTTTATGGTATGTGCCCAAGAATTACAAAAGCTCAACGTTTTGTGGGCCTGTTTCTGTCATCTTTTTTGTTCTCACCTAAGAAGTCTTGAATGTATGATAGCCTTTGACTGTGTGTAGGTCATTTTATTTTTAAAAAGTGTTTGGGGTTTTTTTAAAAAAATTACAATTTGAGTTGTAACTTCCTCCAGAAAAGATTTTGTTTGCTTCTCACCAGCATTCTGGAGAACTCCAGTAGAGAATCACCATAAGTGAGGTTCCAACAACCCTGGGCCTCCCAGGTTGGAACCTAGATGACAAGATTTTGAGGGCTGTATCACTTCCACCTCACCCTCCCGTGTCACTATTCTGGGTCTCAGAAACCATATGTGCATTTCTCAGATTCCTTATCCTGACTCAATGGGTGAGACCCATGCACTACATGATGTAAGTTCTTTTGGGCTGACTGGCTGCACTATGGACTGCATGGTAACCTGTGACCTGTGCGTGTATCTTCAGATAAGTTCCTGGAACTAGAAAGTCTGAAGTAACTGGAAAACTTCAAAAGGAGAAGAATGACCAACCCCTGCTATGCCTAATTAACTTTGAGACATTCTTCTGTTGTTCCTTATTCCCGCCTCAACTGATAACGCAATGGACTTTGTAACTGACCTTGCTCAACTGACAGGTCAACCTCCTGACTCCAGACCCTCCGCCCCCCACCCGGCTTGCAAAATCCGCCCTCAACTGAAACTTCTGTAACTTTCCATTGCCTACCCCAAACCTATAAAACCAACTCCTATCCCACTGCCCTCCAATGACTCCTTTTCAGACTCAGCCCACCCGCACCTGGGTGAATAAACAGCCATGTTGCTCACACAAAGTCTGTCTGGGGGCTGGGGGGGGGGGTCTCTTCATTCAGAGTGTGTTTTAACACATGAGGCACTCGGACTACAACTAGCTTTGGGATGGCTTCTTCTGCATCAGGAAACACACCCAGAGCGACAGTGCTTTAGTGCTGGCCACTAGCTAGGTCCTAGCACCACTCTGGCCCAGGAAGCCTCATTTTGTAGACGGCAGCTCGATGTTTTTAAATCACTTGTTTTCCTTTCCTTTCTTTTTTTTTTTTTTTGGTTTTTGCTTTTGAGTTTTGCTTTTTTTTTTTTTTTTTTTGGGGTTTTTTTCTTTTTTTTTTTTTGGCTTTTTGCTTTGTTTGTTGGCTTTAAAACAAGAAATGTTACATAGTGGGAAATGTGGTTGAAATCATCTAGCCTGCCAGGACTAAAAATGCACGTTCCTCTTACTCTCACCTTTTTCTTTAATTCCGAATTCGGTGGCTCCGATCACCATCTCTGATTCCGTAGGAAGTCATACAATTTCTGTCCCGAAGGCTACAGGGGATTCCCGGGGAGCTTCCCATCCTCAGGCTTGCCCCTCTCTTTACCCCCGCCCAGCACACACCCTCGAAGGCTGCTGCCCATCCTCCTTCCACATGGCTCCGTTACAGACGCAGCCCTCTCTCTTCGGTCTCAGCACCTTCATGTTGCCATGGTAGACGTTTATGAAAGGCTGAGGGATGACAGGGAAGGGTTACAGCACTACTCAAGACAGGAAGAAACCGCTTACAAGTGCTTTTGAGAGATTCTTTCACAACTCCTTACCACAAGAAGATGAGAGAAGCAATCCCTCTTCCAATCTGCCCTCTCACCCGCGCTGGGCTTCCCTCCATCCCCAAGGCCTCCTCCTCCTGCAGCTCTCTGCTCTCTCCTGACGAGCCCTTACCCTCAGGCCACCATGGCTGAAACTTCAACTTGACTTTGCAGAGCAATTAAGCTCTTTTCTGAATTATTCCCGCCTGGGCAATGTCCTCAAAACCTCTCCATTCTTATAGGCAAGTCCATGAGGATGTCTTCCTTCACTGAATTATCAAAATGTTCTGAAATAAATGTTGTCCTTCTCCTCAAATGTAGAAAGGAGAGGCTTGCTTTTTTTTTGTAAAGCAATTTTTTCTTCCTCTCCCCTTAATAAAATCTTTATAGTCCCTGCAAAAGTTTCGACCCACAAATCCTTTCTCTATGAGGCAAGGGATGAAATAAAGAGGGACCTCCGAGAAAACATAAAATACGCCTTCCAAGAGACACAGCAGAAGGGAAGAACCTGCTAGGAACTCACAGGTAACTCACATCCACCGCAAATCGTATTTCAAAGAACGAAACAAGGCTGGGGAACACTCGTGGAGGTGATGCTAGGAAAAGGAATCCATCCATACCCAAACACGGCCTCGCGTGGGGCACACGATGGGCGTACGCGAGCGCCCTTACAGTGGCAGACGGAGTATTTTTAACAGATGATAGGCTAAAGAGCAGCGAGATGTCACGCCGAAAGTATTATCAGAAGAACTGCCCGAAACTTCATAATATGGAAATCAGGTAATAACCATTAGACAAAGAGTTAAGAATCAGATTCAGTCAAGGAAGAAAATGGGGTCTGTTATTTGTAGGACTGTAGGACTCCATTTCAGAATATCATTCAGCAATTTCCCAGGCCGAGTGCCTTCCCCGAGATCACTGTTACGGCCTTCCATGCTGAGGGCACAGTGAGGGGAAAAGGCATGGTGACCCACAATGCTGAGCGGGCAGAGCACTGCAAGGCACATGGCCAGGGCTAAGTTTTCACAAAGTGCAATTTCTCTCCACATTTTGTGAAAGAATCTGCCAAGCTCACATGGGACCCTTTGTGAGAGACTGTGTCTCTTTCATACCTCATCACCACCCAGCTGGTATCACAAATCTATGCCTGGTTCTGCTTGGCATCACTTTGTTAATGCTCTGTTCATTAATTTAACAAACCATCAGGAGAATATGCCTGGAATGGGCAGCATTATCTCTCAACTTCCATTTAATTAAACTCTGCTATTGTAAGGTGACAGTCAGCACATCGCAGGGGGAATTATTCTAAAGATGGAGGTAAAAAGTATTTCAAAGGCCCCACTTAAACATGGAAGCATAATCTAAAATTGCCCAAGCACCCACACTATAATTTTTCTATAATATTAAAGATGTTATTTGCAGACTTGGTAATCAACTGGATTCCGTGGAGAAATTATTCTAGCATCCTTGATGGAAAAATGATGCACGGAGGCAGGGAACAGAGTGCCAAAGGACCACCATAAACAATCACGTGTCACCCGGATTACAACAGTCACCAGGCTTACTCAGGACAGGGGGCTGCCTGCTTCGGGTGCACACTCCCTGCTCGGCTACAAAGTGAACAGACTGAATTCTGATGATATCACCTTAATAAGAAGAAATGAGAGCAGCTCACACTTCAGCCGCTGCCTCAGAAGGATGCCCATGAGGGACCCTGAGCCGGCCAGAGCGGATGGGGACGGCACCCTGCCCCACCAAGGGCTGGGAGCCACCACCCCCCACCCAGAGAGAGGGGCTGTGTGGGATGCTGGCTTACCATCTATCCGGCTCACGAGTTCTTCTAACATTTTCACTTTCATTTGAATCCCGGGTTGGGCAAAGGTGTAGTTGTCCTAAGGAAAAAATAATAATGTGTATCATATGCACATAAAATAAAACACACTTTCCAAAAGAGAAAAAGGCAGCTTGGACCAAGTGAACAGCTTTATAATCGAACGAATCCACAGAGACTTTATCTTGAGAAACAGATCGGTGGACACACACAGCCGACTCCAGGCACTACTGAATGCTATTCTGAGAAGGGAAGGCCCAGCATCTCCTGATGTCAGGTGATGAGCACGCACATCGCAGGAAACACCAAATGGTACATTTCTACTTGTAAATGTAAGACACTTATATTTAAATTGGAAAGCAGGCATCCATGCGCAGGGCTCATTGACTAGAACCGTCTGCGGTAACTGACCACCTTGCTGGCCACCTGGACCCCAGGCACTCAGCCCTGCCAGGAGCCAGTGGGAAATGGCAAATGTGCCTGGTGCTGACGGCACCATCATTGTGGCCACAATCCAAGTGCTAATGACACAGTTGCTGCATGGGTGAATAACATGGACGTGTGACTTTACCTTCAGAGAGACCGCTGGGTGAACTCAGGTGAAGTTCAGACACTAAGATAGGAAGGCCTGCATAGCATCAAAGGGAAGGGGGCCTGGGCAGTTTCAGATCACACAGCCCAGGAGTGGGGCCCCAGCTCTAGGGCTCAGGAGCTCTGTGACCTTGGCAAGTAACATAACATCTCTGGGCTTCAGTTTCATTATCAATAAATGAGAGCAATAACACTGCCTTCTAGGACTGTCTCAAGTTTCAAGGAAATACGTAAGTGGAATGTGGAAGAGATTTCAAGACACAGCAGGGACTGGGGCAGTGACAGGTCTATTATTCCTGCTATCACCGCCCGAGAGAGCAGACACAGGACACTGCGTGGGCGTGGCCAGAGAGGACTGGTCACACCACCCCATCCCACAGCAGGAACATGAAGAGGCAGCTCCCGTCAGGAAGAGAAGGCCATTCCCCACGGAGGCTGCCATCTGGGCCTCAGCCAGTGCTCAGGAAGCATTTTCGGAAGGAGGGTTTCAACCAGACTCGTGGTTAACAGATTTAGTCTGTACCCAACAGCAGTGAAGGCAGAAGGCAGAATAAGAACCAGCATCAAAGATGCCCAGGTTCCAATCCCCAGAACCTGTGGATGTGTTGCCTCACGTGGCAAGGGGAACGAGGGTTGCAGGTGGAACTAAGGTTGCTAATCCATCGATGACAACAGGAAATGACCCTGGATTAGCCAGTGAGCACGACGCAATCCTAGAGTCCTTAAAAGTGGGCAGGGCAGGCAGGAGAGTAGGCAGAGTGACGTCCCGTGAGAAAGACTCAAACCCCATGGCTCACTCTGAAGACGGAGGAAGGGCCACAAGCCAAGGAACTGGAAAGGACAAGGAGCAGATCCTCGGCCAGGGCCTCTAGCAGGAACAGAGAGCTGCTGACGGCTTGCTTTCAGCCTGCCAGACCCACGTCACACTTCTGACCCCCAGACGTGAGAAGAGAAATCACTGTCACCTTGAGGACTAAGTCTAAGCTGATTTGTTGTGGCCGCAATAAAAAAACAATTCAGGACGCTTAGAGGATGCTCTTTACTGGAGCCCCTAAGACTCACTGAGATGTAAGAAGCAAGGAGAATTGGAAGGCAGCCAAATGACGGTGCTGTGCCTGGGGTTCCCGCGCCTGGGGTTCCCGCGCCTGGGGTTCCCGCGCCTGGCGTTCCCGCGCCTGGCGTTCCTGCAGGTTCCCGGCCAGGCTTTGAACTCTTTAGTGAGCACAAAGGGCCTCTGGCCCGGCCAGCACTGGGAGATGACTGCCTGGGTCCGCTGTGACCTCAGGGAGTGACACTGGGGACGGCCCCCAGAGCCTCAGCTAGTGGAAGCCAGGCATGCCACTGCCTCAGTGAAGGCACAGGTAACACAGTCTTGAGCCGAACAGGAGGTGCTGGGCACAGGCAGCCGCAGCTCACCAGGTAAGACAAACGTGGAAACAACACTCACAGAACCCCCAGCTCCGGAACCCAGGAGGGGGCCCAGGTAAGACAAGTGTGCAGCTGAGCCACAGCCTTCCACCCAGCAGCACTTCCAAGTCTGGAAAGTCAAATGCCAACGCATGCAGCCAGCACTCTCTGTGTTTCTCTCCCTCTCTCTCCCTCTTCGTCTGTCTCTCTCTCACACGCAGGCACGCACGCACGCAGGCACACACGCAGAGCACACATGACATCTCCCAACAAGAGCAGGCATGGCAGCCGCCGTGGCACAGAACACAAAAAATGCCTACAAGGCACTGAGAATTTTTCTTTCCTCGGACATGGAAAATGAGCCGAGTCAGACCTGCCGCTTGCTGGGGGATTTCTCCCAGGTCGATTTCAAGTGACAGGCTCTGGACTCCACATTTTCACATCTCTGTGAGGGCAGGACCGCGAAAAGCTCAGATTGCCAACTTCACTTAGAAGGACGCCAAGGCCCTCCCATGATCCTGGACAGCAGGGAGGATGGGCCCGGGGAGAGGATCTCTGGAGTGACAGCTCCAGGGACCTGGGGCTGATGTGTTTTCTAGAAATAGCGGGCCAATTCAGGGATAAGCTTGGCGGCCTCCTGAATTTGGCCGTCCGAAATACGGCGTTTATCGGGCAGGACTTTCAGGCCCCGAAGGAGCTGCACTGGTGCCAGCGAGACCCACGCGCCTGCCCGGCTGAGACGGAGCAGCAGTGGCAGTTAAGGACAAATGGTGAGCTTTCACATATTTGAACTTTAACAGGAGTAAGAAATTCTGGCTCTGGACATTAATTCCTGTGACTGCCATCATCTTTGGACCTGACTTGCAATGGTTAGCCTTTAAGACTCAATTTCTCCCGGGGGACTGGCTAACAGAAGCAGATTTATGTTAAAACGTAGTGCATACTGTGTGTTGCATGTTTATGTCATGTCATTTAACCTCGTGGAGGAATTCCGATGAGCCTGGCTGAACACTACAGCTGCACAGAATTAAGGGTGAGAAACCAGAGAGTAGTGTGGCAGCCTCCAATCCAGAGAGGCCTGATGATTACTTAATGAATGTCCTATTCCAACTAATTCCAGAGCCGTGGGGAGGACAGTCAAACCACCCCCCTGGTCTGCCCCGAGGGACGGCTAACTCTTCCACTCCAAGGGAGGCCACGCCCCTGGCTGGCCAGGGCCCTGACGGTTACGTGAATAACGAACAGACCTGGGCTCCGCGTCCACGCGGAAGGAGCACAGTGGGTGCCTCTCCTGTACTTGCTCTATCCCCAGAAATGCTCGCTCTACGGAGGCTAAAACGGGGAGAGGCGAAGGTTCTCGGAGGCTCCACAGCAGCGGGGCAGGGCCCAGCCCACCGCAGGGGCTCTGATGGGATGGGTGAGCCTGACGGGTCCTGGCATCGGTCAGCCACTTTGTGTGGCTCTCCCACTAAGACAGGATTTCAGGCTCTCATTTAGCAGAGATAAAAGTTATTCTTTGGCCTCCATCTGCCACAATTTTATTTGTTTATATGCTGAAAACCCAGGTAGGAAAGATAGGTTCTCAGAAATCCAAACAATAAGAATGACGCCTGAAAGCCAATAAAGAAAATGTCTGCATTTTGGAAGGGAAAAGGTCTGCATTTTGAAAGCCCTGCCAAGACTGACAGCTGTGGCCGGGGCATGCTGGCTTCAGGCTGGGGGCAGAGAAGACCAGCCTTCTGAAGGTTGCAAGCAGATGACAGGCCCCATCCCCAGAGGGCGAGGCACCAAGGCTAAGGCATGAGGGTCTGTCTGGGCCATCGTGGCTTGCAGAGGGAGCCCAGGCTGCAGAGGGCCCTGTTCAGCAGCCAGAAAGCCTTCCAGGGCACTTTAAGGAGGCAGACACCATGGCCAAGGAGCCCAGCGCCAGGCGGCTGGGGAAAGGAGAAAGAGAACACCCCACGGCCCTCGCAGCAGCCTGACCTGGGGAGGCACTGACCGCCCAGGCCTTCCTAGGGGACTGCTGCCCACAGGCTCCACCAAGGCCCCTGGGCAGACCACAGGCTCCGTTTGCTTAAGGCCCGGAAAGCAGATTTGCCCTTGGGATACCCCAGCCCAGCACCCCACCTCACACACTGGCACGCAGAACACCTGTGCTAGTGAACGTGCACCCGGGCAGCAAAATAGGAATTCAACAAGAATCCTGCACACTTACAAAAATGTCATTAGTAATAGCATCATTCCCTTCGTAAAAAGTGAGCATGCGTATCCTTCAGATGGAGACCTTGAGTCTTTAAAAAAGGATATAATTTACAAAATGTGTGCATCAGAGGAAAGAAAGGAAGGGCTGAAGACAACAACGGCCTTTTGTGAAATGTTTTACAGAACGTAAAGTCTGTGAATATACGTTTTTAAATACACTCAGCTTGCCTTATACCTGTTGCCGTTACAACATCACACTCTCCCGATAACAAATAACACTAGCTGCACTTTTTGGAAGAAAAGTAGAATCAAATTTTCTCAGGGAGCATTTTAGAGAAGAGTTGAACTATAAATTCCCATCAGCTCAGCTGGAAGAACCCACAGTGAAACCTGCCAGCACATGGAGAAGCTAGACTCGCTCCTGCCTCTCTGATAAACGGCTCTTCCACCTGGACCAGGGCTCCGCCTCCCCATTAAGTCCAGCCTCCTCTTTCCAGGCTAATCTCACGGTAACACAGTGTATTCCCCTCGCTGAAACCAAATGTCCCTTCCATGCCCAGGCCTTGGCCTGCCTCTGAAACAGCTCAGGAAGTCCTCTGTGCAAGAAATGGCCTGACAGGGACCCAGGAGGTGGAGGATGCAGTGAGCCCAGATTGCACCACTTGCACTCCAGCCTGGGCTACAGAGCGAGACTCCATCTCCAAAAAAGAAATGGCCTGAGAGACTTCCATTTCCCTGGACTCCTTTTTTTTTTTTTTTTTTTTTTTTTTTTTTTTTTTTTTTTTTTTTTTTTTTTTTTTT